CCCTAGCCTAGTCCTTAGTCCTTAGCCATTCTCAGCAGTGTTTCCCTAGTACAAAGTCCCTAGTTCCTTGCCCATGGGGCTCATTCTCCACTGGTGAGTTCATATCACTCTCCAAAAACGGCGGCTCGCTCGAGAGAGAGCGAGAGAGATGGCTTGGGACTAGTCCTTAGCCGTTTTTAGCCTCCCTAGCCTAGTCCTTAGTCCTTAGCCATTCTCAGCAGTGTTTCCCTAGTATAAAGTCCCTAGTTCCTTGCCCATGGGGCTCATTCTTCACTGGTGAGTTCATATCACTCTCCAAAAACGGCGGCTCGCTCGAGAGAGAGCGAGAGAGATGGCTTGGGACTAGTCCTTAGCCGTTTTTAGCCTCCCTAGCCTAGTCCTTAGTCCTTAGCCATTCTCAGCAGTGTTTCCCTAGTATAAAGTCCCTATTTCCTTGCCCATGGGGCTCATTCTTCACTGGTGAGTTCATATCACTCTCCAAAAACGGCGGCTCGCTCGAGAGAGAGCGAGAGAGATGGCTTGGGACTAGTCCTTAGCCGTTTTTAGCCTCCCTAGCCTAGTCCTTAGTCCTTAGCCATTCTCAGCAGTGTTTCCCTAGTATAAAGTCCCTAGTTCCTTTCCCATGGGGCCCATTCTCCACTGGTGAGTTCATATCACTCTCCAAAAACGGCGGCTCGCTCGAGAGAGAGCGAGAGAGATGGCTTGGGACTAGTCCTTAGCCGTTTTTAGCCTCCCTAGCCTAGTCCTTAGTCCTTAGCCATTCTCAGCAGTGTTTCCCTAGTATAAAGTCCCTAGTTCCTTGCCCATGGGGCTCATTCTCCACTGGTGAGTTCATATCACTCTCCAAAAACGGCGGCTCGCTCGAGAGAGAGCGAGAGAGATGGCTTGGGACTAGTCCTTAGCCGTTTTTAGCCTCCCTAGCCTAGTCCTTAGTCCTTAGCCATTCTCAGCAGTGTTTCCCTAGTATAAAGTCCCTAGTTCCTTTCCCATGGGGCCCATTCTCCACTGGTGAGTTCATATCACTCTCCAAAAACGGCGGCTCGCTCGAGAGAGAGCGAGAGAGATGGCTTGGGACTAGTCCTTAGCCGTTTTTAGCCTCCCTAGCCTAGTCCTTAGTCCTTAGCCATTCTCAGCACTGTTTCCCTAGTATAAAGTCCCTAGTTCCTTGCCCATGGGGCTCATTCTTCACTGGTGAGTTCATATCACTCTCCAAAAACGGCGGCTCGCTCGAGAGAGAGCGAGAGAGATGGCTTGGGACTAGTCCTTAGCCGTTTTTAGCCTCCCTAGCCTAGTCCTTAGTCCTTAGCCATTCTCAGCAGTGTTTCCCTAGTACAAAGTCCCTAGTTCCTTGCCCATGGGGCTCATTCTCCACTGGTGAGTTCATATCACTCTCCAAAAACGGCGGCTCGCTCGAGAGAGAGCGAGAGAGATGGCTTGGGACTAGTCCTTAGCCGTTTTTAGCCTCCCTAGCCTAGTCCTTAGTCCTTAGCCATTCTCAGCAGTGTTTCCCTAGTATAAAGTCCCTAGTTCCTTGCCCATGGGGCTCATTCTTCACTGGTGAGTTCATATCACTCTCCAAAAACGGCGGCTCGCTCGAGAGAGAGCGAGAGAGATGGCTTGGGACTAGTCCTTAGCCGTTTTTAGCCTCCCTAGCCTAGTCCTTAGTCCTTAGCCATTCTCAGCAGTGTTTCCCTAGTATAAAGTCCCTATTTCCTTGCCCATGGGGCTCATTCTTCACTGGTGAGTTCATATCACTCTCCAAAAACGGCGGCTCGCTCGAGAGAGAGCGAGAGAGATGGCTTGGGACTAGTCCTTAGCCGTTTTTAGCCTCCCTAGCCTAGTCCTTAGTCCTTAGCCATTCTCAGCAGTGTTTCCCTAGTATAAAGTCCCTAGTTCCTTTCCCATGGGGCCCATTCTCCACTGGTGAGTTCATATCACTCTCCAAAAACGGCGGCTCGCTCGAGAGAGAGCGAGAGAGATGGCTTGGGACTAGTCCTTAGCCGTTTTTAGCCTCCCTAGCCTAGTCCTTAGTCCTTAGCCATTCTCAGCAGTGTTTCCCTAGTATAAAGTCCCTAGTTCCTTGCCCATGGGGCTCATTCTTCACTGGTGAGTTCATATCACTCTCCAAAAACGGCGGCTCGCTCGAGAGAGAGCGAGAGAGATGGCTTGGGACTAGTCCTTAGCCGTTTTTAGCCTCCCTAGCCTAGTCCTTAGTCCTTAGCCATTCTCAGCAGTGTTTCCCTAGTATAAAGTCCCTAGTTCCTTTCCCATGGGGCCCATTCTCCACTGGTGAGTTCATATCACTCTCCAAAAACGGCGGCTCGCTCGAGAGAGAGCGAGAGAGATGGCTTGGGACTAGTCCTTAGCCGTTTTTAGCCTCCCTAGCCTAGTCCTTAGTCCTTAGCCATTCTCAGCACTGTTTCCCTAGTATAAAGTCCCTAGTTCCTTGCCCATGGGGCTCATTCTTCACTGGTGAGTTCATATCACTCTCCAAAAACGGCGGATCGCTCGAGAGAGAGCGAGAGAGATGGCTTGGGACTAGTCCTTAGCCGTTTTTAGCCTCCCTAGCCTAGTCCTTAGTCCTTAGCCATTCTCAGCAGTGTTTCCCTAGTATAAAGTCCCTAGTTCCTTGCCCATGGGGCTCATTCTCCACTGGTGAGTTCATATCACTCTCCAAAAACGGCGGCTCGCTCGAGAGAGAGCGAGAGAGATGGCTTGGGACTAGTCCTTAGCCGTTTTTAGCCTCCCTAGCCTAGTCCTTAGTCCTTAGCCATTCTCAGCAGTTTTTCCCTAGTATAAAGTCCCTAGTTCCTTGCCCATGGGGCTCATTCTTCACTGGTGAGTTCATATCACTCTCCAAAAACGGCGGCTCGCTCGAGAGAGAGCGAGAGAGATGGCTTGGGACTAGTCCTTAGCCGTTTTTAGCCTCCCTAGCCTAGTCCTTAGTCCTTAGCCATTCTCAGCAGTGTTTCCCTAGTATAAAGTCCCTAGTTCCTTGCCCATGGGGCTCATTCTTCACTGGTGAGTTCATATCACTCTCCAAAAACGGCGGCTCGCTCGAGAGAGAGCGAGAGAGATGGCTTGGGACTAGTCCTTAGCCGTTTTTAGCCTCCCTAGCCTAGTCCTTAGTCCTTAGCCATTCTCAGCAGTGTTTCCCTAGTATAAAGTCCCTAGTTCCTTGCCCATGGGGCCCATTCTCCACTGGTGAGTTCATATCACTCTCCAAAAACGGCGGCTCGCTCGAGAGAGAGCGAGAGAGATGGCTTGGGACTAGTCCTTAGCCGTTTTTAGCCTCCCTAGCCTAGTCCTTAGTCCTTAGCCATTCTCAGCAGTGTTTCCCTAGTATAAAGTCCCTAGTTCCTTGCCCATGGGGCTCATTCTTCACTGGTGAGTTCATATCACTCTCCAAAAACGGCGGCTCGCTCGAGAGAGAGCGAGAGAGATGGCTTGGGACTAGTCCTTAGCCGTTTTTAGCCTCCCTAGCCTAGTCCTTAGTCCTTAGCCATTCTCAGCAGTGTTTCCCTAGTATAAAGTCCCTAGTTCCTTGCCCATGGGGCTCATTCTTCACTGGTGAGTTCATATCACTCTCCAAAAACGGCGGCACGCTCGAGAGAGAGCGAGAGAGATGGCTTGGGACTAGTCCTTAGCCGTTTTTAGCCTCCCTAGCCTAGTCCTTAGTCCTTAGCCATTCTCAGCAGTGTTTCCCTAGTATAAAGTCCCTAGTTTCTTGCCCATGGGGCTCATTCTTCACTGGTGAGTTCATATCACTCTCCAAAAACGGCGGCTCGCTCGAGAGAGAGCGAGAGAGATGGCTTGGGACCTAAGTTGGTCATTTACGCCATTTCAGCCCACGTACACGTAACGTACGCGTACATGTACGTTTACGTGTACGTACACGTACGTACGCCGGGCAGGTCAAAAAAAAAATTCTGGACGAAAAATTTCTTTGAAATCGGTTTCCGAAAACCTAAAAAAGAAACAAGCTTTCGATGACCTATGCTCTGTTAGCGTGTTAGTAAAATGGCGCGACGTTTTTCAAGGTAGTAATGTAAGAAACAGGAAGGTTGCTAGCTAGGGTTGCTATGGTGTGGCGACTACCCTACGTACTATGTCGACTAAGGAGGTAGAACTACGATAGCTATGGTAGAACTACGATGTCGACAAAGTCTGTCGAGAGAGGGAGGGAGGAATTGTGGTCGCGAACGTGTACAAACTGTTCGCGATAGAACATTGCGAACTGTTTGACTCAGCTCGCGATTGCTTCGCTTGCAAGGTAAGCAAATGTCACCCGCTCGGCAGTTTCGTCACCGCCGAGCTTCACTGGTTTCGGCGAATCCCAACTTCGAGTCAAACCAATTCGCCGATTCAAATGTAAATTTACATCTAGCGACTTTCCTGCACCTTCCGTAACACGCGCAAACGCGTGCCTGCACCTTCCGCGAGTCATAACCGGAAACTAACAATGCGATTCAACGGCAAAGAACTATTTTGCAGCTATAGCTAGTAAGTATAACAAAAGTCACACGCTTAACCAACAATCACAGCTAGCTTATCAATCTATCTACTCAATCAACTCTCCAACAGACTATACTAGTACTATGGAGACCCCTATGCAGACCTCCGAGCATCCCGTGTGGCGATGCTTCATTGTTCCTGAGGGCGGAATGTCTGATTCTACGCTAGCGAAGAAATGCAAGCGATGTGGTAAGTCGTGGAAACTGAATGTGGCGCGAGCTCAGGCACACATTCTCGGAATTCCAGGGAGCGGAATCACGGCATGCGCCTCAGCTACACCTGAGGATAAGGAGAAAATCCGTTCCGCGATGGATGATAAGAGAAGGGACTCTGATTCTCGCGAGAAAGCGCAACAGAAAACGTCCGATGCATTCTCGCCATCGTCTACTACGAACACCAAGTCGGCGGGCATGGGGGCGAGTGGCTCCAACGTAGCGGAAAGTAGCAGCATGGCGCGCAAGAGACAGGCGACGCAACGTACGCTTATGGATACTCGCCCCAAACCCGTCGACGCGGCGAGTGCGCAACTTGCCATCGCAACGTTTTTCCACGTGTGTCGTATTGCACCGAATGTTGTGGAGCACGATGCTTTCAAGACGATGCTGAAAAAGGTTGCTGCTGCTGGTACAGGATTTACACCTCCTGGACGACGGCTAATAATGGGAAGATTGTTGGAGGAGTGCAAGGCGAACACCGACAATGCGTTGAAGGAGGTGAAGGATTCATGGAAGGATGTCGGGGTGTGCATCGCGTGTGACGGTTGGACCGACAGCAAAGGACGTCTGCAGCTGAACTTCTTAGCTGTCAATGCGATTGCATCCGTATTTCTTTTTGGGGTGGATTGCGGCACGGAGAAGAAGGGAGCAGAATTCATTGCTGGCCACTTGAAGACGGCAATGGTCATGGTGGGAACGGAGAACGTAGTCGGCCTGCTGATGGACGGTGCGTCCGCGAATGTCAACGCTGCCAGCATCATCGCCCTCGACTACCCAAAAGTTCAGTGGATTCGTTGCGCTGCGCATTCTCTCAATCTAATGATGAAGGACATTGGCCAACTCGATTGGGCCAAGGATACCATCGACCGCGCGCAGCAGCTAATTTCGACGTTGAAGAACGCGCACTGGATTACGGGGGTTCTTCGGAAGGAGAAGGCGCTACAAATCTTGAAACCTGCGGGCACTCGTTTTGGAACAAATTACATCGCCCTCGAACGCCTGCAAGCAGTGCGCAAAACTCTCGACAAGCTGGTGCTGAGTGAGGATTGGGAGGAGTACGTCAAGGGAAAGCCGAAAATGAAGGACGCATGGGATACTATTATCGACAAAGAGTTCTGGGCGCGCGTTGGGACGGTGCTCGATGTGCTTCGTCCGGTCTATAAGCTGTTGCGGAATGTTGACGGCAATCAGGAGGTGATGGGCAAGATCTATGACAAAATGTTTGTTTTGGAGGACGCGGTGAAGGAGGCGTGTAATGAGCTGACCGAGGAGGAGAAGGAGGATGTGACCGACATCGTGCGGAATCGGTGGAACAACGACATCAACTGCGCGCTTCACGTGGTCGGACGGATTCTGTACCCGCCAAACCAATACGAGTCAATATTTGGAACGGACGTGGAGTGTACCAAGATCTTCAAGCAATTCATTCGCAATTACTACAAGGGTGAGTTCATGAAAATGGGAGGGGTGATGGCGCCACTCGCAACCATCGTCGAAAAAGAGGACTTGACATACACCAAGGGGAAGGGAGACATTGGGGAGCAGAAAGCGCGTGATGAACATGAACTCATCAAAGTTGGGCTTTTGGATTCGGCGCATTGGTGGGAATTCAATGGCACGGACGTGCCCCACCTCTCCAAGCTTGCAAGGAGAGTTCTCAAGCAATGCGTCTCAGCCTCCCCTTGCGAGACGAATTGGGCCGTTTGGGAGTCAATCCATACAGCTCGTCGTAATCGCCTTGGAGCGAAACGTCTTGCCGACCTTGTGTACGTGAGCCACAACTATCACACAGTGAAGAAGTTGAATGAGGATCTTGCTAAGAAGCTGGTGGTGAGTGGGCTTCCTGTGATCCAAGTTAAGGAGGAACCTACTGACAGCTACGGGCATCTCGATGACGACGACATCCCTGATGAGGCATATCTTGATGGCCAGGAAGCGAAAGAGCCGAGGATGATATGATATTCTGCACGACGCGTGCATGATGGTACTTTTGTTATTTGGGAAATTACGAGGTTGTAATGGAATGTTTACACTATATGATGGAAATCATGATTACGAGGGAGTACTGTAACAAAATATATACATACTTGGGCAGCCCAGAAAAATTTCCACCTGCCCGTACATTAGGCCTCCAACCCAACAGCCGCGTAAACGTACGTACACGTACGTACGTAAACGTAAACGTAAATGACCAGCTTAGCTTGGGACTAGTCCTTAGCCGTTTTTAGCCTCCCTAGCCTAGTCCTTAGTCCTTAGCCATTCTCAGCAGTGTTTCCCTAGTATAAAGTCCCTAGTTCCTTGCCCATGGGGCTCATTCTTCACTGGTGAGTTCATATCACTCTCCAAAAACGGCGGCTCGCTCGAGAGAGAGCGAGAGAGATGGCTTGGGACTAGTCCTTAGCCGTTTTTAGCCTCCCTAGCCTAGTCCTTAGTCCTTAGCCATTCTCAGCAGTGTTTCCCTAGTATAAAGTCCCTAGTTCCTTGCCCATGGGGCTCATTCTTCACTGGTGAGTTCATATCACTCTCCAAAAACGGCGGCTCGCTCGAGAGAGAGCGAAAGAGATGGCTTGGGACTAGTCCTTAGCCGTTTTTAGCCTCCCTAGCCTAGTCCTTAGTCCTTAGCCATTCTCACCAGTGTTTCCCTAGTATAAAGTCCCTAGTTCCTTTCCCATGGGGCCCATTCTCCACTGGTGAGTTCATATCACTCTCCAAAAACGGCGGCTCGCTCGAGAGAGAGCGAGAGAGATGGCTTGGGACTAGTCCTTAGCCGTTTTTAGCCTCCCTAGCCTAGTCCTTAGTCCTTAGCCATTCTCAGCACTGTTTCCCTAGTATAAAGTCCCTAGTTCCTTGCCCATGGGGCTCATTCTTCACTGGTGAGTTCATATCACTCTCCAAAAACGGCGGATCGCTCGAGAGAGAGCGAGAGAGATGGCTTGGGACTAGTCCTTAGCCGTTTTTAGCCTCCCTAGCCTAGTCCTTAGTCCTTAGCCATTCTCAGCAGTGTTTCCCTAGTACAAAGTCCCTAGTTCCTTGCCCATGGGGCTCATTCTCCACTGGTGAGTTCATATCACTCTCCAAAAACGGCGGCTCGCTCGAGAGAGAGCGAGAGAGATGGCTTGGGACTAGTCCTTAGCCGTTTTTAGCCTCCCTAGCCTAGTCCTTAGTCCTTAGCCATTCTCAGCAGTGTTTCCCTAGTATAAAGTCCCTAGTTCCTTGCCCATGGGGCTCATTCTTCACTGGTGAGTTCATATCACTCTCCAAAAACGGCGGCTCGCTCGAGAGAGAGCGAGAGAGATGGCTTGGGACTAGTCCTTAGCCGTTTTTAGCCTCCCTAGCCTAGTCCTTAGTCCTTAGCCATTCTCAGCAGTGTTTCCCTAGTATAAAGTCCCTAGTTCCTTGCCCATGGGGCTCATTCTTCACTGGTGAGTTCATATCAATCTCCAAAAACGGCGGCTCGCTCGAGAGAGAGCGAGAGAGATGGCTTGGGACTAGTCCTTAGCCGTTTTTAGCCTCCCTAGCCTAGTCCTTAGTCCTTAGCCATTCTCAGCAGTGTTTCCCTAGTATAAAGTCCCTAGTTCCTTGCCCATGGGGCCCATTCTCCACTGGTGAGTTCATATCACTCTCCAAAAACGGCGGCTCGCTCGAGAGAGAGCGAGAGAGATGGCTTGGGACTAGTCCTTAGCCGTTTTTAGCCTCCCTAGCCTAGTCCTTAGTCCTTAGCCATTCTCAGCAGTGTTTCCCTAGTATAAAGTCCCTAGTTCCTTGCCCATGGGGCTCATTCTTCACTGGTGAGTTCATATCACTCTCCAAAAACGGCGGCTCGCTCGAGAGAGAGCGAGAGAGATGGCTTGGGACTAGTCCTTAGCCGTTTTTAGCCTCCCTAGCCTAGTCCTTAGTCCTTAGCCATTCTCAGCAGTGTTTCCCTAGTATAAAGTCCCTAGTTCCTTGCCCATGGGGCTCATTCTTCACTGGTGAGTTCATATCACTCTCCAAAAACGGCGGCACGCTCGAGAGAGAGCGAGAGAGATGGCTTGGGACTAGTCCTTAGCCGTTTTTAGCCTCCCTAGCCTAGTCCTTAGTCCTTAGCCATTCTCAGCAGTGTTTCCCTAGTATAAAGTCCCTAGTTCCTTGCCCATGGGGCTCATTCTTCACTGGTGAGTTCATATCACTCTCCAAAAACGGCGGCTCGCTCGAGAGAGAGCGAGAGAGATGGCTTGGGACTAGTCCTTAGCCGTTTTTAGCCTCCCTAGCCTAGTCCTTAGTCCTTAGCCATTCTCAGCAGTGTTTCCCTAGTATAAAGTCCCTAGTTCCTTGCCCATGGGGCTCATTCTTCACTGGTGAGTTCATATCACTCTCCAAAAACGGCGGCTCGCTCGAGAGAGAGCGAAAGAGATGGCTTGGGACTAGTCCTTAGCCGTTTTTAGCCTCCCTAGCCTAGTCCTTAGTCCTTAGCCATTCTCACCAGTGTTTCCCTAGTATAAAGTCCCTAGTTCCTTTCCCATGGGGCCCATTCTCCACTGGTGAGTTCATATCACTCTCCAAAAACGGCGGCTCGCTCGAGAGAGAGCGAGAGAGATGGCTTGGGACTAGTCCTTAGCCGTTTTTAGCCTCCCTAGCCTAGTCCTTAGTCCTTAGCCATTCTCAGCACTGTTTCCCTAGTATAAAGTCCCTAGTTCCTTGCCCATGGGGCTCATTCTTCACTGGTGAGTTCATATCACTCTCCAAAAACGGCGGATCGCTCGAGAGAGAGCGAGAGAGATGGCTTGGGACTAGTCCTTAGCCGTTTTTAGCCTCCCTAGCCTAGTCCTTAGTCCTTAGCCATTCTCAGCAGTGTTTCCCTAGTACAAAGTCCCTAGTTCCTTGCCCATGGGGCTCATTCTCCACTGGTGAGTTCATATCACTCTCCAAAAACGGCGGCTCGCTCGAGAGAGAGCGAGAGAGATGGCTTGGGACTAGTCCTTAGCCGTTTTTAGCCTCCCTAGCCTAGTCCTTAGTCCTTAGCCATTCTCAGCAGTGTTTCCCTAGTATAAAGTCCCTAGTTCCTTGCCCATGGGGCTCATTCTTCACTGGTGAGTTCATATCACTCTCCAAAAACGGCGGCTCGCTCGAGAGAGAGCGAGAGAGATGGCTTGGGACTAGTCCTTAGCCGTTTTTAGCCTCCCTAGCCTAGTCCTTAGTCCTTAGCCATTCTCAGCAGTGTTTCCCTAGTATAAAGTCCCTAGTTCCTTGCCCATGGGGCTCATTCTTCACTGGTGAGTTCATATCAATCTCCAAAAACGGCGGCTCGCTCGAGAGAGAGCGAGAGAGATGGCTTGGGACTAGTCCTTAGCCGTTTTTAGCCTCCCTAGCCTAGTCCTTAGTCCTTAGCCATTCTCAGCAGTGTTTCCCTAGTATAAAGTCCCTAGTTCCTTGCCCATGGGGCCCATTCTCCACTGGTGAGTTCATATCACTCTCCAAAAACGGCGGCTCGCTCGAGAGAGAGCGAGAGAGATGGCTTGGGACTAGTCCTTAGCCGTTTTTAGCCTCCCTAGCCTAGTCCTTAGTCCTTAGCCATTCTCAGCAGTGTTTCCCTAGTATAAAGTCCCTAGTTCCTTGCCCATGGGGCTCATTCTTCACTGGTGAGTTCATATCACTCTCCAAAAACGGCGGCTCGCTCGAGAGAGAGCGAGAGAGATGGCTTGGGACTAGTCCTTAGCCGTTTTTAGCCTCCCTAGCCTAGTCCTTAGTCCTTAGCCATTCTCAGCAGTGTTTCCCTAGTATAAAGTCCCTAGTTCCTTGCCCATGGGGCTCATTCTTCACTGGTGAGTTCATATCACTCTCCAAAAACGGCGGCACGCTCGAGAGAGAGCGAGAGAGATGGCTTGGGACTAGTCCTTAGCCGTTTTTAGCCTCCCTAGCCTAGTCCTTAGTCCTTAGCCATTCTCAGCAGTGTTTCCCTAGTATAAAGTCCCTAGTTCCTTGCCCATGGGGCTCATTCTTCACTGGTGAGTTCATATCACTCTCCAAAAACGGCGGCTCGCTCGAGAGAGAGCGAGAGAGATGGCTTGGGACTAGTCCTTAGCCGTTTTTAGCCTCCCTAGCCTAGTCCTTAGTCCTTAGCCATTCTCAGCAGTGTTTCCCTAGTATAAAGTCCCTAGTTCCTTTCCCATGGGGCCCATTCTCCACTGGTGAGTTCATATCACTCTCCAAAAACGGCGGCTCGCTCGAGAGAGAGCGAGAGAGATGGCTTGGGACTAGTCCTTAGCCGTTTTTAGCCTCCCTAGCCTAGTCCTTAGTCCTTAGCCATTCTCAGCACTGTTTCCCTAGTATAAAGTCCCTAGTTCCTTGCCCATGGGGCTCATTCTTCACTGGTGAGTTCATATCACTCTCCAAAAACGGCGGATCGCTCGAGAGAGAGCGAGAGAGATGGCTTGGGACTAGTCCTTAGCCGTTTTTAGCCTCCCTAGCCTAGTCCTTAGTCCTTAGCCATTCTCAGCAGTGTTTCCCTAGTATAAAGTCCCTAGTTCCTTGCCCATGGGGCTCATTCTCCACTGGTGAGTTCATATCACTCTCCAAAAACGGCGGCTCGCTCGAGAGAGAGCGAGAGAGATGGCTTGGGACTAGTCCTTAGCCGTTTTTAGCCTCCCTAGCCTAGTCCTTAGTCCTTAGCCATTCTCAGCAGTTTTTCCCTAGTATAAAGTCCCTAGTTCCTTGCCCATGGGGCTCATTCTTCACTGGTGAGTTCATATCACTCTCCAAAAACGGCGGCTCGCTCGAGAGAGAGCGAGAGAGATGGCTTGGGACTAGTCCTTAGCCGTTTTTAGCCTCCCTAGCCTAGTCCTTAGTCCTTAGCCATTCTCAGCAGTGTTTCCCTAGTATAAAGTCCCTAGTTCCTTGCCCATGGGGCTCATTCTTCACTGGTGAGTTCATATCACTCTCCAAAAACGGCGGCTCGCTCGAGAGAGAGCGAGAGAGATGGCTTGGGACTAGTCCTTAGCCGTTTTTAGCCTCCCTAGCCTAGTCCTTAGTCCTTAGCCATTCTCAGCAGTGTTTCCCTAGTATAAAGTCCCTAGTTCCTTGCCCATGGGGCCCATTCTCCACTGGTGAGTTCATATCACTCTCCAAAAACGGCGGCTCGCTCGAGAGAGAGCGAGAGAGATGGCTTGGGACTAGTCCTTAGCCGTTTTTAGCCTCCCTAGCCTAGTCCTTAGTCCTTAGCCATTCTCAGCAGTGTTTCCCTAGTATAAAGTCCCTAGTTCCTTGCCCATGGGGCTCATTCTTCACTGGTGAGTTCATATCACTCTCCAAAAACGGCGGCTCGCTCGAGAGAGAGCGAGAGAGATGGCTTGGGACTAGTCCTTAGCCGTTTTTAGCCTCCCTAGCCTAGTCCTTAGTCCTTAGCCATTCTCAGCAGTGTTTCCCTAGTATAAAGTCCCTAGTTCCTTGCCCATGGGGCTCATTCTTCACTGGTGAGTTCATATCACTCTCCAAAAACGGCGGCACGCTCGAGAGAGAGCGAGAGAGATGGCTTGGGACTAGTCCTTAGCCGTTTTTAGCCTCCCTAGCCTAGTCCTTAGTCCTTAGCCATTCTCAGCAGTGTTTCCCTAGTATAAAGTCCCTAGTTTCTTGCCCATGGGGCTCATTCTTCACTGGTGAGTTCATATCACTCTCCAAAAACGGCGGCTCGCTCGAGAGAGAGCGAGAGAGATGGCTTGGGACCTAAGTTGGTCATTTACGCCATTTCAGCCCACGTACACGTAACGTACGCGTACATGTACGTTTACGTGTACGTACACGTACGTACGCCGGGCAGGTCAAAAAAAAAATTCTGGACGAAAAATTTCTTTGAAATCGGTTTCCGAAAACCTAAAAAAGAAACAAGCTTTCGATGACCTATGCTCTGTTAGCGTGTTAGTAAAATGGCGCGACGTTTTTCAAGGTAGTAATGTAAGAAACAGGAAGGTTGCTAGCTAGGGTTGCTATGGTGTGGCGACTACCCTACGTACTATGTCGACTAAGGAGGTAGAACTACGATAGCTATGGTAGAACTACGATGTCGACAAAGTCTGTCGAGAGAGGGAGGGAGGAATTGTGGTCGCGAACGTGTACAAACTGTTCGCGATAGAACATTGCGAACTGTTTGACTCAGCTCGCGATTGCTTCGCTTGCAAGGTAAGGAAATGTCACCCGCTCGGCAGTTTCGTCACCGCCGAGCTTCACTGGTTTCGGCGAATCCCAACTTCGAGTCAAACCAATTCGCCGATTCAAATGTAAATTTACATCTAGCGACTTTCCTGCACCTTCCGTAACACGCGCAAACGCGTGCCTGCACCTTCCGCGAGTCATAACCGGAAACTAACAATGCGATTCAACGGCAAAGAACTATTTTGCAGCTATAGCTAGTAAGTATAACAAAAGTCACACGCTTAACCAACAATCACAGCTAGCTTATCAATCTATCTACTCAATCAACTCTCCAACAGACTATACTAGTACTATGGAGACCCCTATGCAGACCTCCGAGCATCCCGTGTGGCGATGCTTCATTGTTCCTGAGGGCGGAATGTCTGATTCTACGCTAGCGAAGAAATGCAAGCGATGTGGTAAGTCGTGGAAACTGAATGTGGCGCGAGCTCAGGCACACATTCTCGGAATTCCAGGGAGCGGAATCACGGCATGCGCCTCAGCTACACCTGAGGATAAGGAGAAAATCCGTTCCGCGATGGATGATAAGAGAAGGGACTCTGATTCTCGCGAGAAAGCGCAACAGAAAACGTCCGATGCATTCTCGCCATCGTCTACTACGAACACCAAGTCGGCGGGCATGGGGGCGAGTGGCTCCAACGTAGCGGAAAGTAGCAGCATGGCGCGCAAGAGACAGGCGACGCAACGTACGCTTATGGATACTCGCCCCAAACCCGTCGACGCGGCGAGTGCGCAACTTGCCATCGCAACGTTTTTCCACGTGTGTCGTATTGCACCGAATGTTGTGGAGCACGATGCTTTCAAGACGATGCTGAAAAAGGTTGCTGCTGCTGGTACAGGATTTACACCTCCTGGACGACGGCTAATAATGGGAAGATTGTTGGAGGAGTGCAAGGCGAACACCGACAATGCGTTGAAGGAGGTGAAGGATTCATGGAAGGATGTCGGGGTGTGCATCGCGTGTGACGGTTGGACCGACAGCAAAGGACGTCTGCAGCTGAACTTCTTAGCTGTCAATGCGATTGCATCCGTATTTCTTTTTGGGGTGGATTGCGGCACGGAGAAGAAGGGAGCAGAATTCATTGCTGGCCACTTGAAGACGGCAATGGTCATGGTGGGAACGGAGAACGTAGTCGGCCTGCTGATGGACGGTGCGTCCGCGAATGTCAACGCTGCCAGCATCATCGCCCTCGACTACCCAAAAGTTCAGTGGATTCGTTGCGCTGCGCATTCTCTCAATCTAATGATGAAGGACATTGGCCAACTCGATTGGGCCAAGGATACCATCGACCGCGCGCAGCAGCTAATTTCGACGTTGAAGAACGCGCACTGGATTACGGGGGTTCTTCGGAAGGAGAAGGCGCTACAAATCTTGAAACCTGCGGGCACTCGTTTTGGAACAAATTACATCGCCCTCGAACGCCTGCAAGCAGTGCGCAAAACTCTCGACAAGCTGGTGCTGAGTGAGGATTGGGAGGAGTACGTCAAGGGAAAGCCGAAAATGAAGGACGCATGGGATACTATTATCGACAAAGAGTTCTGGGCGCGCGTTGGGACGGTGCTCGATGTGCTTCGTCCGGTCTATAAGCTGTTGCGGAATGTTGACGGCAATCAGGAGGTGATGGGCAAGATCTATGACAAAATGTTTGTTTTGGAGGACGCGGTGAAGGAGGCGTGTAATGAGCTGACCGAGGAGGAGAAGGAGGATGTGACCGACATCGTGCGGAATCGGTGGAACAACGACATCAACTGCGCGCTTCACGTGGTCGGACGGATTCTGTACCCGCCAAACCAATACGAGTCAATATTTGGAACGGACGTGGAGTGTACCAAGATCTTCAAGCAATTCATTCGCAATTACTACAAGGGTGAGTTCATGAAAATGGGAGGGGTGATGGCGCCACTCGCAACCATCGTCGAAAAAGAGGACTTGACATACACCAAGGGGAAGGGAGACATTGGGGAGCAGAAAGCGCGTGATGAACATGAACTCATCAAAGTTGGGCTTTTGGATTCGGCGCATTGGTGGGAATTCAATGGCACGGACGTGCCCCACCTCTCCAAGCTTGCAAGGAGAGTTCTCAAGCAATGCGTCTCAGCCTCCCCTTGCGAGACGAATTGGGCCGTTTGGGAGTCAATCCATACAGCTCGTCGTAATCGCCTTGGAGCGAAACGTCTTGCCGACCTTGTGTACGTGAGCCACAACTATCACACAGTGAAGAAGTTGAATGAGGATCTTGCTAAGAAGCTGGTGGTGAGTGGGCTTCCTGTGATCCAAGTTAAGGAGGAACCTACTGACAGCTACGGGCATCTCGATGACGACGACATCCCTGATGAGGCATATCTTGATGGCCAGGAAGCGAAAGAGCCGAGGATGATATGATATTCTGCACGACGCGTGCATGATGGTACTTTTGTTATTTGGGAAATTACGAGGTTGTAATGGAATGTTTACACTATATGATGGAAATCATGATTACGAGGGAGTACTGTAACAAAATATATACATACTTGGGCAGCCCAGAAAAAATTCCACCTGCCCGTACATTAGGCCTCCAACCCAACAGCCGCGTAAACGTACGTACACGTACGTACGTAAACGTAAACGTAAATGACCAGCTTAGCTTGGGACTAGTCCTTAGCCGTTTTTAGCCTCCCTAGCCTAGTCCTTAGTCCTTAGCCATTCTCAGCAGTGTTTCCCTAGTATAAAGTCCCTAGTTCCTTGCCCATGGGGCTCATTCTTCACTGGTGAGTTCATATCACTCTCCAAAAACGGCGGCTCGCTCGAGAGAGAGCGAGAGAGATGGCTTGGGACTAGTCCTTAGCCGTTTTTAGCCTCCCTAGCCTAGTCCTTAGTCCTTAGCCATTTTCAGCAGTGTTTCCCTAGTATAAAGTCCCTAGTTCCTTGCCCATGGGGCTCATTCTTCACTGGTGAGTTCATATCACTCTCCAAAAACGGCGGCTCGCTCGAGAGAGAGCGAAAGAGATGGCTTGGGACTAGTCCTTAGCCGTTTTTAGCCTCCCTAGCCTAGTCCTTAGTCCTTAGCCATTCTCACCAGTATTTTCCTAGTATAAAGTCCCTAGTTCCTTGCCCATGGGGCTCATTCTTCACTGGTGAGTTCATATCACTCTCCAAAAACGGTGGCTCGCGCCGGCCGCCTACGGCGGCCGCCGCTCGCTTGCGCGGCCTACGGCCGCGCGTGAGGTGTTGCAAGGACAGAGATAAAGACGTTCATAACATGGAGCAATACACGAGGCAAGTGTAGACCATACCACCTTCAACAACACCCCCAAGCGTGGTGTACACGCCATGGGGAAGCCCAAGGCCAGGCTGGGAACCAAACAGACAGGCCTAGGGACGACAGCTGCTACTCAGCCAGGATCCAACACAGCCGCCCGTCCATCCACCGCAGCACAGAGGCGGCAGCTAGCACAATGTCCCGTGGGGATTGCAGGGCGGCAAGAGCCAGCCGCCTCAAGGAAGCAGGGCCAGGCCCCAAGGCTGAGCCAAGGGAGCTCGGCACCAGCCCGATTGCGGGCAGCATCCGCAGCATCTCCATTGCTGCCGCCACGGCCTCCTCCTGCTCCTGCTGCGACATTGCCGGGTACCCCTCCTCGGGACGCGCTTGACGTGACTGGTACGCGTGGAACTGGTCAAGGACCATTGCCAAAAGAGACAGACACGTCCTTACGTGCCCAACGCGCTGCTCGACGCGAAGTGCCCATCCGACAGGGGGAGAGTCCACCCAGAAACCCCACCGGTGCTGCGGGGCCTGAGCCTGATGAGCCCCTTGACAAGCAGGTGGCGAGGACCCTGACAGGACGGTCCCGCGGGGCGGGGGGGTACTCGATGACGAGATCTCCCCCGGAGACAGCGCTGGGGGAGGATCGAGTTGGACGAATGAAGGCGATGACGGAGGCAGCGGAGGCGGCGACATCTGGAGGGGCTGCAACAGGATGGGAGGCGGAAGGGGAGTTAGCTGCCGAGACTGCCACTGCCTCTGGCGGCGACTCAGCCTCACACCGTGTGAGGGGCCTCGCTGTGATGCCACTTCCTGAAATACATGGACGGGTAGAGGAGCAAGAACGTGCAACGGAGGCAACGGAGGTGACGGTGCCCGCTCCACGGGCACAGACAGTGGTGATGACGGATGCTGCAGTGGGAGCGGACGTAGGCCCAGTCGAGGGAGGCGCAGTGGTTGGCGTTGGGTCCGCCGAAACACCTGCTGCCGCCGTGGGCGCAGACACGCAGGGGTGCGACCAGGTGGTGGGCGATACACGGGGGCGTGGGAACGGCGTTGCTGCGCATGCCACTCTCGGGAAGGGCAGGAAGAAGTTCCGCGCCCAGCCAGCGCCGAGGCGGCCCGGTGCAGGGCTTGTCCCGGGCCACCCGGGACCCCTCCTGGGCTGGCTTCTGCAAGGACAGCCGCCAAAATCGCAGTTGCGTCAACCGCCATCTGTGGGGTCAGGTAGCGGGAGAAACGAAGGGGAAACCGGCGTCAGGCAGGCGGGGATTCTAAGCGATGGGGCGGGAAACATTCCGCCAGACATGGTGATACAACAAGAACCCCAGCGTGAAACGCGGAGCTCCACACGAGCATGAGGCATCACCTGGGGCCAGCCACGGGGAGGCCTGACTAGACGGCCATACTCACCGTGGATCCCGGCGGGGAGAACGCCACAAGCGGGGGAAAACGGGCGTATCAATGAGCCCCAGGGAAGAGGTGGAGGGACGTCTCGGGGGGCCCGAGGCGGAGATCGTGGGGGACGGGGCGGAAGACGGGGCGGAGGCGCAATTGTCGGGGGAAGAGAGGCACTGGTGAGATCTGAAACGTGGCGGGAACGCCACGAACGCCCAGAACAAGAGGCGCCACCGACGAATCAGGAGGGGAGGGAATCTGACAACAATGATGACAGGGACGACTATGTAGCTGAAGCATCGCAAGCCTCAGAGACGATCTCGCTTGAGGAGGAGGGAGACGTGACGAGAAGAGTCCGAGGAAGAGTTATGAGAGGGCGAAACCCTCAGGATGGAAACCACCAGGAGGAAGACCCTCAGGAGGGAGGAGAGACAGGAGCAGCAGCGGGTATGAGCCAGAGAGATTCAGGAGAACCAAAGGTGCAGTCGCCGGCCGACCTGGCAGCCAACGGTGCCATCTGGCAGCTGGCAGGAATGTGGGAATTGGCACCTCTGCAGCGAGGGGACCAACCTTTTTTGGTTCGGAGAATGCCCCCAAAAATTCTGGAGAGTTACACCCTCTGTATCCTGGCACCACTCCTGCGCCTAGCAAAACACCCCGATTGCCCGGGTGCGTGGGCGATCCTGCAATTCCTCCCAAGGCTGACCCTTCAACCGCTTCCCGAACCAGTGGAAGGAAGCCGATGGACGGGGATCGAGGGTAGGCTACACCAGTTCCAGCAAGGCAGATGGGGGGAACTCTTCGAAGAGGCAAAAGTCATCCCCGACATAGACAATCCGACACGACACCAAGCGGATGAGGCTGGACCTTGTGCTAGAGCTGACGGTTTGATGAAGAAGGGTAACATCTCGAAGGCGGTCGCAGCGTTACGGACGACCCCACTCGCCGAGGCCACACCGACGACACTCGCTGCACTGCAGGCGAAACACCCCGATGCTGCCTTGCCCACCTCGCCCTATGTTACTAGCTACACCCTCTCGGCGCTGAGAGTGACCCCTGACGACCTTCGCGAAATACTTAAGCGATGCCCGAACGAAGTGGGAGCAGGGCCTTCAGGCACCTGTTTCGAACACCTCAAGGACCCGGCGCTAGCGAGTGAAGAGGTGCTCATACTCCTCGCTAAAACAGTCAGCCACCTCCTTAGCACATTTCAGACCCAGGCCGTCCGCGAGGTGCTCCTTCCCTCGAGGCTCATTGCCCTGGAAAATCCGGGAGGTGGCGTTAGACCTATCGCGATAGGAGAAGCAATGCTTCGCATCGTGGCAAAGGCAGCCCTGAAAGAATTATCGCAAAATATTCGGGAGTTTTTCCTCCCCGTACAGTTTGGCGTGTCGGTCACTGGCGGCGCAGAGTGCATCATACACGCAGACCGCTCGCTGCTTAAAGAGGACGAGACTCACGTCGCGCTACAGCTAGACATCGAGAACGCCTTCAATAGCGTGGAACGACCGGCGTTCTTCCAGGCGCTCTCGCAGTCGAACCTGTCATCACTCCTGCCGCTAGTACGCACGATGTACGAGGGCCCGTCCCGGCTTTTAGTGGACCACAGGCTTGGCGTTGACCAGGTAATAAGCAGCCAAGGAGTTCGTCAGGGAGACCCACTAGGTCCGCTCCTCTTTGCCGCGGCGATCCAACCAACACTTTTGAGTACGGCAACACTCCTCCCCGAGGTGGCGATCGTCGCCTACGCTGACGACATCACCATCGTGGGACCCAGAGACGCTGCATTTGAGGCTTTCATCAACATCACAACAGAGCTAACATCACTCGGGCTCCGCTGCAACATTGCCAAGTCCACAGGGTGGGGACAGAGCACGGAGGAGGGAAGCGAGATCCCACCACCACAGGGCTTGCCAATAAACACCACTGGGATAGGAGTTCTGGGGAGCCCGATCGGCACGCCTGCCTTCTGCACCGACCAGGCACAGACACGACTCATGGAGGCGTCCGCCCCGCTACCCCTGATAGCTCAACTCCACCCCCAGCACGCCATGCTCATGCTCTCGCGGAGCATTTCACGCAGGATATCCTACATGCTGCGTACAACGCCAGCGGCGGTGCTGGAGAGAGAGGAGTGGAGGTCGTGGAGCGAATCTCTGCTGGGAGCAGCACTAGCAGCAGCGAAACTATGAGTACCGACAAGTGAGCTGGAACAGAGTCTGCTCTGGCGGCAAGGCACCCTACCAGTCAGGCTAGGGGGGCTGGGCATCATCGACCCTTCCTCGGAGGCTCCGGCAGCCTACATAGCGTCAGTCACAGCAGCCCAGCAACTACTGCGGCAGATGAACCTGCCGAAGGCATACCTACTGCGCAGGGCGATCACGCTACTTGACCACGCTTGGAGCCCCGCGGCACCAAAGGTCAATCAGCTAGCCCCACTGGAAGCAGCACTGCCAGCACCCGCAAGGACTGCATTACAGGCTTTCAGAGAGAAGCCGACAGGACAGGGTAACCTTCAGCTAGTGCTGTCCCGGCACATCAATGAGAGAAGGGCTGCGGAGCTGCTGTTAGACACAATCACAGACCGACCGGGCACACACCGCGGGCATGCAATACGCCTCATCAGCTTGCAAGGGGTGGGGGCGGGAGATTGGCTACATGCAGTGCCTTCAAGAGCTGACCTTACATTTGCCCCTGGTCAGTTCTCCTTGGCACTGGGCTTCCGCATGGGCATGTCCTTGCCAGTCACTGTGAAGTGCCCCTGCAAGCGCGAGTATTCAGATATCACCGACACAAGCCTACCGAACCATCTCCTTAGGTGTGGGTACGGGGGAGATGTGGTCAGAACACACAACTCACTGGTGTACGCGGCCCTCAGGATGGCAAGGGAAGCAGACTTCACGTGCTTCCATGAGACAGCAGCCTTCTCTCCACCGATCGTTAGGAAGAGAGGGGACCTAGCCGTGAGAGACAAAGAGTCAAATGAGACTTGGGTGACCGATGTGACGGTGACTGACCCCGTGCTCCAGCAATGCGACACAAGGGTACGGAAACCGCCAGGATGGGCAGCTGAGGAAGCTTCTGCAAGGAAACACAGGCTTTATGAGGGACGACCGGACTATGTAGGCTTCTTCGGGCTTGCAGTTGATACGTACGGGGCTCTGGCAACCGACACACAGCAGTTCCTATGCCTCCTTGCCACCTCAGCAGCCAAGAAAAAGTACCGCCAGTGGAAGCTGACGACGACTACTGCACGGCTCACCGCTCACTACCGGCAGCGCTGGTCTGTGATGCTGCAGCGTTCCCAGGCGACGTCCTACCTGAACAAGTCCAACCTCTCATATGAGGCGGCGTTCCCCCAGGCCGCCAGGGACCCTTGGGAACCTAGCCTGGGGGACCTATGGCAAGTGCTGGAGGACGATTTGGAGGTGGTAATGGCACAGTAGGTAGGACAAGGGGGTGGTGGGGAAACGGAAGGTGGTGCCAGGGGGTTGATGGGTGGAAGCTGGAAGATAAGGGAACAAGAGTGAAATAGGAAGGAGGTCCACGAGCAAGGCAGGATTATATGGAGCTGCCAGGGTCCTGGAGTGGGTGTTTTTGGTTCTACCTGAAGAGAGGGTGTGGTGGTGATGACCAGGTTGCAGGAACTATGTGTGCCTTGCTTCACTGCTTGCTATGCCTTGCACTGCTCTGCCTTGTTAGCTCTGCTAGTTTAGCTACCAGGTTGCTCCCATATCTAGACAGTCTTGCAACCATCACCTGCCATGCCTGTACCTTGTGCACCCTATTAATACAGGACTGCTTGAGAGAGAGAGAGAGAGAGAGAGAGAGAGAGAGAGAGAAAGAGAGAGAGAGAGAGAGAGAGAGAAAGAGAGAGAGAGAGAGAGAGAGAACGACAATGAGAGAACGAGAACGAGAGAACGAGAGAGAGAGAACAAGAGAGAGAGAACGACATGCTGCTCGGGTCGAAATGGTTTAAATCAATCTGGCAATCAAGGCAAAGAAGGTTAGCGTTCAAATCGACATAACAACAACATAAGATGAAAGGAAGTAAAAACGTCAATGAAATATGCAAATACGAGGTTGTAAGCATGCAACACAGGAAAGAGACGATGAATAGTGGAAGAATGGATACAATCTAGTGAAAGACCTAAAGCTAAATTATCTACAACAATCATAGAACCTAAGCCTTAAACAACCTGCGGCCAATACTATGTTAAACGACTACGATATGCGACTAAGAGATGGTAGTATAGCTTGTAATGATCGGATTTGGCTCAAAATGGTTAGGGTTGTTCTTACCTTGCACTAGTAGGTGGAGCGTGTCTGGTGGGGAGCTCAACTAGCGAGAAGGAGGAGCGGGAGAGAAAAGGAACGAACAAACCCTAAGGCATTCTCAGATTCGTCGCAAAGATTTAGTGACTATCTATAATGTCGAGGTGAATATACTCAAAATGTTACATTGCTTACTTTGTGTGGTCTATAGTGGGTTAGCCCATAAGGGGTACAACCCAATTAGGGTTAGTACTTGTACCCAACTCTTTCATAGTCCATTCATTCTCGTTCGTTAGTTTGACATGGTTTCAGAGCAGGTCCTTCGCTAGGACCAGTAATTTTTTTAGGGCTCACCACAGAGCAGCTGCCCTACCGCCCTACCCTATTGACCCGCCGCCCTTCTGGCCGCGGCACTGCCCCTAGCAGCTCGTCGCGCCGCCCTTAGCAGCCCACGAACCGCCCCTGCAGCTAGCGCGCTGCCCTTGCAGCCCGCTCGCCACCTGCTCATGGCCCGTGCGCCGCCCCTGCAGCTCGCGCGTCGCCCCCTTGCGGCCCGCTCGCCGCCCGTGCGGCCCGCTCGCCGCTTGCTCGCAGCCCGCTAGCCGCCCCTGCAGCCCGCTTGCCGCCAGCTTGCGGCCCGCTACGCCGCCCCTGCCGCCCGCTTGCCGCTTGCTCACTGCCCGCTCGCCGCCCCTGCCGCCCGCTCGCCGCTTGCCTTCGGCCCGCTCGCCGCCCCTGCAGACCGCTTGCTGCCTACCTGCAGCCCGCTCGCCGCCCTTGCAACCTGCTTGCTGCACGCTCACCGCCCTCTTGCGGCCCGCTCGCTGCCCCTTGCAGTCCGCTAGCCGCCTCTTGCAACCTGCGTACCGCCCCTTGCAGCCCGCTCGCCGCCCCTTGCGGCCCGCTCGCCGCCCCTTGCAGCCTGCGCACCGCCATCTGGCAGCCCGCTCGCCACCCCTTTTCCTGCCCGCCCTGCTGCTGGCCACCCTAGCCGTGCGCCGCCCTGCCCTGCCTGCGTGCTGCTCTGCTGGTAGCGCGCCACCCTGCTCTGCCTGCTATGGCTTCTCTCCGTGTCCTCACGTTCAATCATGAGGGCCGTCCGATCCAATTCGACACGTGGCTCGACGACTTACAGTTGTTTCTACTGAGCGACTCTAGAAACAACGTTTCATTGTTTGACCACACACCTGGAGCCTCTCTCGCCCCTCCCGCCATAGCTGACAGTGCGACTTGCTCACAGTGGCTTACCCGTGAACTGCTGCTCGATTAGTCATTCGCAACCACCTGCCGTTAGCCGAATGCGCTCACTTCGGACAGCACAAGACTGCTAAAGCACTGTACGACGCTATAGTTGCCCGTTCTTCCACTGGTGCTCTAGGCTGTCTTATACTGCCCTACCTGTTTCCCGAGTTGTCCACCTTTGCCACAGTAGAGGACCTCGTTACCCACCTTTGCACGAGCGACGCTCGCTACTGCGCTGCCCTCCCAGCAGAGTTCCTTGACAAGAACCCCACCCCCCCCGATGTACCTCACTGTTGACCTACTCGAGCAGCACCTCCTTGCAGCTGCGACTAGAGTAGTCGCTGTAGGTACCGCTCGTGGCACTCCTCGCACGCCCTTCTTTGAGGGGTGTTCCTCCTCCCCCCTTGCCCCCTCCTACGCCTCTGCTGCTGCTGATGACGTCCTTGGTGCTGAGGACGTCGGGGCTGCTTCTGCTAGTGGGAAGCGCCGCAGCAGCAAGGGCAAGGGTGGCAGGAGTAGTGGAGGTGGCAGCGGGGGTGGTAGTGGGGGCGGCAGTGGAGGTGGTGGAGGTAGTGGAGGTGGTGGCAACGGTGGGAGTGGTGGCGGGAGTGGGGGCTTTGGTGGCGGCGGTGGTGGCAGCGGTGGGAGTGGCGGTAGTGGACGCAATGGGAGAGGTGACAGTCACGGTGGAGCTGTTCAGAGGGGAGGTTCTGGCAGTGGCCAGCGGCAGCAGCAGCAGCGTCGGAGCGAGACCCCGTCGCCCCAGCAGCTTCGTGAGTCGTTTTCTCAGCATGGGGCGTCTGGGGGTAGTGTTAGCTGCCTGTATGGCATTCACACGGGTGACCATGCTGGTCAGACATGCGGGAAGCCTCACACTCGGCACCGCTGCTTCTCCCGCCTTAACGACGTTTGGCTCGCAGAGTTTGGTGACGAGGTCGAGCGCCCCTGCTGGGCAGAGCTACTTAGGTCTGGAGTTGCTATCTTTGATCTTGACTATGATGCAATCCTTGCTGCTATGTATGCCTTGTCTGTTAGTGCCGAGGGTGACTGTTACCTGTGTTCGCCGCCTGACCCAGGTATAGAGGCTGCTGCTCTAGGTGCTAGTGATTCTGCTCTCCCTAGTACTGCGCCTACTGAGGCCTTGCACACCTTTACGCTTGACTAAGGTGCTTCACGCTGTTTCTTTCGTGACAGCACCACCCTCACTCCTCTCTCTACACTTGTACCACTCAGGCTGGCTGACCCCTCAGGGGGCCTAGTCCTTGCCCGTACCTACACTAATCTCCCGTGTTCGGCGGTTCCGT